TTGTTACGATATGCTTTCTAGATTTATGGCTGTGAGAACAGTGGATTATTCAAAGCTTTTGGAGACCATGTGTTACATAAGTTACGGATACCACTTCACGAAAGAAAAAACGAAAGGATACGAATTACTTTACTTAGCAGAGATACTCAATATAGAAAAATTTTGAACGAGGATGAATTAACGAAGGCTCTGAAAGAAAATCCAGAGTACAAAGTTAGAAAGGTAGGAAAAGCTTCTAAATATGATACAAGGAATCTCCTACGATGAAAGGCAATTAAATAAATATAATCAGAATATAATTAAAATGTTTGCCTTCTCTAGGTAGTTTATAATAAAAAAGTATCATTTAAAAAACAACTGGAGATTACAAGAAACTCTGATATTTTTATTGGAATACACGGAGCTGGATTAACGCATCTTATGTTTTTGCCAGATTGGGCAGCAGTATTTGAGATGTAAGTGTAGATGGACATGTCTTTCCACAGAAATATATCTTATACATATAATTATTATGCAGATATAATTGTGAAGATCCAGGATGTTATAAAGATCTTGCTCGTTTACGCGGGGTAAAGTACTTTACGTGGGAAAATACCTCAATGCTAGTGCAACAAGATCCCGTAAGCGATTGTATCTCGAATAAAAAAGAATTTCATTTAAAATTTATTACAAAACTAACTGAAATTCTGTACAGGGTACACATCCTGATGGAGGAGCACACGCAAAATTCACCAATTATAGTTTTGACGTTAAAGAGTTTTTACGTATAGTTTCACGAGCTACGGATTACGTAAAAAACCATGATTCGTTTAAAAAATTTGTCAGTACACGAACGCAACGTAAGATAATTGGGACAAAGAATCACAATAGGACAACAAATGATATAAATAGGAGAGCAACTCCCAAGTCAAAGGAAGTAACTGAATTGAAATCTGACGTTCAATCCAAAGATGAATTATGATAAATATTTTAGATAATTTGTCAATGAAACATCTGAATAATAGGTTCATAATTATTGATATTAATAACGAATAAACAAAACAATTTGTTACCAATTAAGTCTTTTTACTTGTTTTTGTATAAATTATAAATGTATGTATATACTTATTTTAATAAAAAGAAGAAGTAAACATGAAGTACAATTTGATATATCTACGCAAATAGATATCTATGGCAGTGTAAATATTTTGTTACTAATTGTTTACACTGATTCATTATATAATTGTACAATGTAAGAAATCGCAATTAGTACAACGAATTATACATTTATATTTATATTTATAATTTAATTTGTACCTGTTTCCTGTACAATAATAAAACTGATAATATATTTACAGCCATATATGCAATTAATATTAGCAAAGCTTTTAAATGACTTACATATAATGTACGTATTAATATATTAATACCTCCAGTCATTAAGTTTGACACTAAAAAGAAAAGTAGACCATTGTAATTTACAGCTTCCAATATTTCAATGCTATTTTTATTTGCACTTTTCTGGCATTTGTCAGGCATCCTATCTCGTTTACTTTTTGTATACGTTTTGTATGATTTTGTCTTTTTTTGATTATGTTCTGAATCCATAGTTATGTAAATTAATATATCAGATATTATTTCAATCAATAGTAATAATGTAAGTACCATGATACCTAAAGTTAAAATCCACATGCAATACCCAGCATTTGCTAACCGTCTAGATACTTTAAAATATGCATCACAGATTAAAGTGGCTGCACACGTCTGAGCTGATATTAAGGACAATTTAATGCATAAAATCATAGACTCGTTATAATTTATATCAAGCTCATACCCAAATAACTTAAAATGGAATGTTTCATGTTTATGTTGTAACAAATTTTGAGCATGTGAATTCTGATATGTAGAATGAATCAATCTACCAACTGCCACACCTATTAAATAAAGCCCAACATATCCAGGTACAGATACTACACCTTCACGATTAGCAGATATAAAGTCGTTCCTTGGTCTATTGCTTAAAACCCACTCCTTTAATCCTTTGGTACTTAAAATATACTCGTGCATTCCTAAAATCCAAATTCCTGATAATAATGAATACCTTGAATTGATAGTACTTGTTATAGAACTAGTAAATAATTTAACAAAAGCAAGAGTTATAAAAAAATTCCAATGAATGCCATATTCAGTAACATGCTTTTGATAACCTAAAACTTCAATAGCAACAGATCTGCCAAAACCTAATATTAAAAGTGGAATGCAACTTCTTGCAGACTGTCTTATATTTTTCGTTATAGTATGAAAGAAACCTATCCTAGGTTTAAGAACAAAGTCTTTGGCTTCTGGAGCCACTAAAGCATTAGCTAATACAAATAACCCAACACCAGTATCCATTAAACTGTATCCAAATAATTCAGTTTTTGCAAATTTGCGAGGAAATATGTGGAAATCTATAGCTAATATACATATCGCTGTTATTATATTAGTTAATGCTCTGAAATGTGTAATAAAAGGCCTTTTGCCATAAACAGGTCTTATATTGTACATTGATGTTATATCAGAATTAATTCCTAATAATAAGATATTAATTATAGATATTAGCATCATGATACAACATACTGTAACAACATAGTCAGATAATATAGTACAACACAAAATAGATGGTATTACAATTAATGCAAATTCTACTATAGTTCTAATATTTTTATGGGCAGTCTGTTCTAAAAAGCCCATTGTAGTTGTAGTTAAAAGAATACTACAACAACTTGGCAAGATTGCATATATAACCTCTATGGAAGTTGTTCCACCATGACCAGAAACAAATGCTTCTTGTTCTTGGCGGTAAATATTTCTATTCCATGTATTTGACATGTTTGTCAAATAATAATTATAATTATTTTTTAATAATTAATTATAATAATCATTTCTCTCAATGAGAAATCTGCAAAGAAATATTATTTATTGATAGTATAAAATACTATGATTTTCTGAGAATTTGAACTTACTTAAAAGAATATTATCTGAATTTTTACTTCGAAGTATTGCATTTTATACAAATTAAAGTTTGAAAATAATTTAAGTCAACCAGAAGTATGTTCACGCATACTCTAAACTCAATAAGTCATAGATGGAGCTATGAACTACAATCTTAATGTCAACTTTCTTAGAACCGTGACCAAATTCAAGAAATGAAACATTTGAAATATAAAATATATTTTTGGTTATATATATATTTGGTTATAAGGTAAACCAATAACTTTGACATATTTAAATATTATGAACTGATTGAAAATAATGAAAAAATTCAAATTTTAAAAACAATAGTGATATAATGAATAATGATGCACAGAAATCTGATTATATTGTGTCCAGTGTGTAGAAAGATCAAACTATAGAATTATAGTGTATAGAAAACATATAGAACATCATATTAATTTATGTTTTGCTTTTTTAAAGGAAATCAAAGGTTCAACATCAAAGAGATTTCTTTCGTGCGAAAATATTAGTGAAAAAAATCCACCAAAAAAGCACAAAGCCAATACAACAATTAATATAACAAATATGAACCAACAGAAATCGCCATGCGAATTTATTTCCCTTTCTGAAAAAATGAGACCTACATGCCTTGATGACTACATAGGACAAGAAAAAATTATTGGACCTCATACAGTATTAAAACAATTATTAATAAAGGGACATGTTCCTAGCATGATATTTTGGGGTCCGCCAGGATGTGGAAAGGTAATACATATTTATAAATTTTCATCACTTTTCAGATATTATTACTAATTATTTATCAAAATACTTTTTAGACATCTCTAACTAATGTTATATCCAAGCTGAGTAAAGAAATACATAGAGACAAAGTGCATGTTATAAATCTTTCTGCAACATCTTCTGGTGTCAGTAATATTCGAAATATTGTTAATACATCAAAAACGAAATCAAACAATCAAATCATTATATTTATGGATGAAATACATCACTTTAATAAATTGCAACAAGATATTTTTTTACCACATATTGAAGCAGGCACATTTACATTAATTGGCACAACTACAGAGAATCCATCTTATAGTTTAAATTCTGCTTTGCTAAGTAGATGTCGTGTATTTGTTTTAAATAAATTAACAATACCAAATATTATGGAAATTCTTTGTAAAGCAGTTTCATTTATCAGTGGGGAAATACATAGTTTTCCACAATCAAATAATTTAAGAAATATTTTAAGCTGTAGTTCCAAACCACGTTTTTCAATTGATAAGATGGTACTTAATTGGTTAGCAGAGATATGTGATGGAGATGCACGTGTTGCATTAAATAGTTTAGAATTGGCAGTTAAAAATAAAATATCATATGAGATGAATCCTATTTCAATAACTCTTGAAGATGTTAAAGAAAGTCTCAAACAAGTACATACATTATCCGATAAACAAAACAATAATATTCATCATTTATATTCTGCTTTACACAAATCGATAAGAGTTGGCAAAGAAAATGCATCTTTATATTGGTTAGCACGAATTATGGCAATTAAAGAAGATCCAGTGGACATAGCAAGAAGATTAATAAGAATAGCAAGTGAAGATATTGGTTTAGCGGACCCTGATGCTTTAGGTACATAAAACTATCTACAAAAATCTTAATGCATTTTAATATACCTAATAATGCTATTTGTATATAAAACATTGTATAATAATTTATTCTTTAACATAAATAGTAGTGAAAAACTTTTAATAATTTTGAGGTAAAATTCTGTAATACTTAATTTCAAGTACAAAGATCCATTTTGTGGATAAATTTGATTTATCCACTATATTGTATTTGATGTAATATCACAATGAATAATATAATAAAAATTTTGGATTTTAGGCATAGCTGTTCATACTATTTATGGATGCCAAATGATTGGAATGCCAGAATGTGATGTGATTTTAGCACAATGTGTTATATATTTAACTAGAGCACCAAAATCTCAACTGATATATAGTGCTCTTAAATCTGCTAAAAACACAATTGCAAACCACAAAGGTCCACAACCTGCAGTACCATTACATATCAGAGATAAATCAAAACAAGCAAAAGTTAATTATATTTCTGGTAAGATACTAAAACATTAAGGTATCAAATATTTAATATACAATATTATCTTATCTCATTACTCATTACAGGACAACATAAAGAAAATTTATTTCATAAAGAAAAAATTAGAACTTACTTGCCATTTGGCTTGCAGAATGTCAACTTCTTCTTGGAATGTTGAATTCTCTGTTCCATTAAAGATATTTGTTTTACCTACAAAAGACAAACTACCTAGAACAACAATTTAAAATTTGCATAATTTACAAAAAAAATTATGACTCACCTTGTGAACGGACATCAATATTATGACACCATTGTATGATACAACCAAATTAAGTTGAAATTGTTTATCAGAAGTTAAGAGAAGAACAAAAATAACAATTTTCATACGATAAAAAGTTACAATTTGTAGTTTTAACGAGATTATTTCGAGATTATAACGAGATTTTTCAAACAAAATTCAACGTGACCAACTCCTCCGAACGCTTTTGAATTAAGAAGATGCACCGCCTAACGATCGACCAATCAGATTGACTGAAGAAATTAGCAAGAAAATTGGCCAATCAAATTAAAATGAAAAAGTTAATAAAAAAAAACCAACCAATCTAATTGAATTAGGAAAAATATCATTGGTTAATGTAATTATTGTTGTTAATTATTTTATTTAATATTAAATAATATGTAATATTAATTTATATATAAATATGAAATAAAAAAAGAACAAATTTTTAACATAATTATTTATATAAAAATATATAATATTATTGGTTTATAATCTTATGATAGATACATGTACATTGTGTAATATAAATTAAGTAAATGTAGAGTGAAAGAAGAAAAAATTAATATAACAATTGTTTTAATAGCGATAAATATTTTATTACTATTTATGTTGTATATTATTATATATATTTATGGAAATATAATAAATTGATTGAAAAACTTATACAAGATACAAACGAATATTAGGTTGTTTGTTCAGTATTAGGAATATTAGGAATATTGTTCAACTGAAATTAAAAAAAGGAACTATATTTATTATTGAATGTAAATTAAGCGTAATTTGGTTCATCATGTTCGAATAAATAGAAAATAGTTCAAAATAATTGACCAATCAGATTGAATTGAGGACAAGCTCATTGGTTGTTGGAAACAGGAGTACCAACTTTTGATGGATCAATACACAATGAAAGATTAGAATTGAAGACCTCTTTTTACGTTACATCAGATTTTGGAGTTAGTAGACGTAACTTGATTATAGTAGTGCAATGTTTCCATGTGATTGTTAATAATTTAAATTATAGTGTTAGTCATACGTTACGTTGAAAAATTTCATAAAGATGAAGTTGTGGACGTCGCATCATACTTTTGAGTAAGTATTTTTCATAAAAGTTTATTCATTTGTAACTTGATGAGTAGAATGTAGAAATGCTTCGTGACATCTTTTTGCCTGTGTGACATGAAAAATTTGTGCTTTTTTATGATTGTAGTCATCCATGGGAAACAGTTGTGAAAGCAGCATGCAGAAAGTATCCAAATCCTTTAAATCCTCATGTTTTGGGAACAGATGTCATCGACAGAAAAGTCAAAGATGGTGTCCTTTTTTCTCACAGATTGGTCAGTTCCCAATGGCGTTTTCCTAAATGGTTGACACAGGTAATTATTGTAAATAATAGTTCTTAGAGTTATTCGTCTTACGCAGTGATGGGGGTGTAACTTTTCCAAAGAAGAAAGTTACTTGCAGTCAAACATAATGTAGTTCGATGAATTTAATCTTAACGATATCATGATTTATAAATATGTATATGTTTTTAACATATTGTTATTGAAGTTTGATAATCTGGTTTGCTACAACCAAAATACTACATTATGTTAGATGTGCTGCAATGTCTATCCTAAACTATATTACTAATACAATTTATATATATCTGATACAAAGATAATTGATTGTTTATAAATTTTATCTTCCTTAAACTTTCTTTGAACTTCTATCTTCTTTAAACTTCTTATTAAACTTTTAGATTCGTGAATATTACATATAATAAGTTAAAAACAGTCTTATTCTTATTACTTTTCTATTAATGCATTATATTATCAAATTATTTTAATTTGTATTATATTATATTATTAATTTGTATTATATTATTGTATCCTTACTTTTGTTTTACTTTAACATGCTTTAACATTTTAACATTTTTACTTTATGTAAGAAAATAGAGACATCCATATAGTTCAAAGCTTAAATTCTTATTTTGTGATGATAGAGCCTGATAGAGATTCAAAATCACATGTTTGAAAATATTCATTTATTTCAATTATCCTTTGTCAGGTAGTTGTTTGTTTGTTTGTGATGCATGACTAATTGCTCAATTAAAATTTCACTTGTTTCCAGTATAGAGATTCCAAACCTTCCAGTATATTCGTTTTAATTCTTAAAGTTACCACATTAGCGCTAGTGTCAGATTAGCTAGATTAAGATCATTGGTAATAAATTTTATTGACTGATGAAAGTCTGGGGTTTAAAGAAAAGAACAACATATGTTAAGCTTGTTAAAAATTATCCACGGTTCTGTTTCTCAATTTTAATCTATATAATACTAGATATAGTACAAAGTTAATCGTGCATTATCTATCTTTATCAGAACGATGCTTTCATTTTTCCTCTATTCTTAATCGCAAAGAATTTCTTCTATTAATTTATTTGGCAATAATTTAAAATGTCAAAGAGTTGCAGATATATTTGCAATTGCATTTATAATATAAGACAATGTCACGAGTAGTTACGTCCGTGCATACGCAAAGAAATTTGGCGAAATGCCGCTCGATGCAAGTTAGTTAGATACGTTTATACTTATATAATTCACCATTTTCGTTAGTTAAAAAAAAGTAACATAGATTTACATTTGGCGCGTACAAGGTCTTCGTTACGTTACTCCTACTTTTTTAAATAAGTAGATTATGCATTTCTATAATCAGACATCGGTTAACCCTCAATTAGATAACTGTTACATAACTGGCTTAGTAACAGTGATCTTGATAGAGTAGAAGCGTCCATGTTAACGCTGGATTAGTCTTTTTTCTAGAAACATGCTGGTACATTACATCGATTTATTGACCATAGAGTGTACGAAATGCTAGATAAATAACCGTGATCATTCTTCCGCTATTATGTATTCAGCTTCTCGGTATTAAAAAGTACTTTTCATATCATTTCAATCTTATCTGCATAATATCCATTTACCCAAAACAATAGAGTTTATGCCAAAGTTTGGAGATAAGTAAGAAATCAATCTACACAGAGTTATAATTATGCGTTCCTTCTTTGCTGGGCAGCAGTTTATAGACAAAACAGTTCGTTGCCGTTTGACCAAGCAATCTATACAAACAGCGGCAGTAGCTAGCAGCAAATTCGAAACTTTCGACAAGAGCAAGAAGAAGGTGCAGAGCAAATTCAGGCTCGAGGCTAGAGAGAATTACAAAACAACGACACACCAACCGTATCAACTTTCATAATGAGTACTCCCACCAATGTTATGCTCTTTGGCAATCATCCAGCTAGGCGCCTGCGTTGTGGAGTGGAGCCACCCTTACAGCCTCTCTCCTCATCCCTGTTTCTTCTCCAGCTAATGGGAGATTCGAGCTTCGAATCCTTTTCGGCTGGGGGGAATTGCTTCCTTTTGCAGGATTTTCTATAAGCTTGGCCATTTCGCAAAGCCGTCCTGTTGTGCCTCTCTCGCTCGAATGCCTCGAATCGCCGCCTCATATATAACGAATGCACAGCAGGTGGAATGGAAAGGGAGGGAAGAAGAAAGAAGGTATCGCCTTCGCGTTTAGCCACTCTTGAAATTACTTGACGGAAGGGGAAGTGCAAAGCCTCGTTTCAGTTCGAATTAGCTGCATCCGCTCTGTTCCGGTTTTTTTTTTTTTTTTTTTTTTTTTTTTT